ATAAAGAGAATTGAAATTTTGACGAGAATTTTTAAAAAATTTTTGAACACAATTGAATTTAGTAAATATGTTACAAAGTTAGTTAGTATGTAAGTTAGTAACTAAGTTAGTAATTAACTTACTAAGTTACTATTCTCCCTGGAGAAGCTAAATTCGTTGATTTTTTATAAATCGTTGACTTTGGTGTTGCAGATTATTTTAATCAATTCTGGCGTTATTTTAACACCTCACGTTTTACTGTGAATAAATTGTAATTAAAATTAAAATAAATTGTAATTAAAATTAAAATTATAATTTAATAAAAATACAGACACAGTGTCAGTTACTTCAATGCAACCGCAATAATAAAACAAACGATTTGAAACATTTACAATTTGCATCAATTTTTTTCCCTCCTCTCTCTCTCTCTCTCTTTTTTTATTCTGAGAATTCAGTGAATTGTCAACGATTGGTTATAGACAAAAGGTTTTAGTGAACTGAGTGGAAAAAACGACTCCCAGGCCCTTGTGGTAACACGAGACTGGGACAACAGCGGTCCATTAGTCAACCAGCTCTGTGTCAATACATAAATATGACGGCTAGCTACTGAACGCGACACTCACCCTGCTTGCTACAACTTCACTCATCCATGTCAACTATATTACACACGTCGATATCGCATACATACGAATTCAGAAAAACTCCTCTCGTATTGTCATCTATCTGGGACTTTATCTTTAAGCAGTCCGTGTTCTATACATAAATCCATCTCTCGCCAGTTATCACTGACAATAAGATGAATGGAAAACGCGTTCCCGATGAATGTAAGCAAACCATTTCTCTTCTTCGGTTACACGACAAAAAAAAAGGAGATAATAAGAATCCCCATCAGAGAGAAATATGAATCCTTAGAAAGTAAATATCATAATATCTGTGTGGAAATTTTGGGCTTACAAATTCGGAGCTGAATTGATAATTTCCGAAAAGATTCTCTCGGCTGTTGTGTTCGGACATTCCAGGGAATTTTTTATAATTTTACTTTGACTTTCGTTTCGATTTTGACTTTTATTTTCACTTTGACATTTACTCTCACTTTGACTATCGCTTCAATTTTGACTTTGACTTTCACTTTTGCTTCGATTTTTACTTTCATTTTCACTTTGACATTTACTCTCACTTTGACTATCGCTTCAATTTTGACTTTGACTTTGACTTTTGCTTCAATTTTGACTTTGACTTTCATTTACACTTTGACTCTCGCTTCGATTTTGACTTTTACTTTCATTTTGACTTTGACTATTTCATTTACTCTCACTTTGACTATCGCTTCGATTTTGACTTTCACTTTCACTTTGACTTTCGCTCAGTCAGTTTTTTTAAAAAAGAAATGGTCCGTAAAGTCCGTAATTCGATTAAAAATGATGAAAAGTTCATAAATTGCACGATATAATTTGAATAATTTTAGAGAAATTAAAACTGATTGCAGAATATCAATTATGTTCGGAAATTTTTAAAAATTCTCACCTAAATTACAATTATCATTAGAAATAATTAAATTCTTTTCCAAAAATCAATTATTTTCAAAAATTTTAATTGAATTTTCCAAAAGAATTAAATTATTAAAAAAAAAATTTAATAAAATTCTGCCCAAAACTTTAATTACTTTCATAAAATAATAGGAATTCAAAAATTTACAAATTTTTTTTATAAATTTCTTCGCAATCATTCAATTATTTTAAAAAATAATAAAATTTTTATAGGGATTTCATTATTTTTCGTAAATAATAAAATTTTTTTTTAAGAATTCAATTATTTTCATAAATAATAAAACTCATTGCAGAATTTCAATTATTCTTAATACAATTTTAATCAAATTCCTCAAAAATCCAATTATGTTCAAAAATTAATAAAAAATTCTCGTCAAAATTTCAATTATCAATTATCTTCAAAAATAATTAAATTCTTTTCCAAAATTCAATTCTTTAAAAAAAAATGTAATAAAATCACGCACAAACCTTTAATTATTTTCAGAAAATAATAAAAATTTCACAGAAAATTCCATTATTTACAAATTTTTTTATACATTTCTTCGCAATCATTCAATTATTTTATAAAATAATATAATTTATACAGGGATTCAATTATTTTCGTAAATAATGAAATTTATTGCAGAATTTCAATTATTCTTAATACAATTTTAATCGAATTCCTCAAAAATTCAATTATGTTCAAAAATTTAAAAAAATTCTTGTCAAAATTTCAATTATCTTAAAGAAAATTAAATTCTTCTCCAAAATTCAATTATTTTCAAAAATTTTAATAAAATTTTCTAAAAGAATTCAATTATTTATATTATATTATTATTTTGTTTGAAATTATTTGAAGTTTTATTTTCTAATATATATTTATAATTAAAGAATTTACGAATAATTGAAATTTTGTAAAATTGAATGTTGTAAATAAATGGATTTGAAAAATTCTCAAAGAACTTTTTCAAAAATTATTAAAAATAATGCATTTCTAGAAAAATTTTAGTTAAAAACACAAAAAAAAAATTTAATTTTAGAAAAGTTACATTTCTATTGCAGAAATTCAATTATTTTCAAGAGTAATAATATTCTTAGGAAAAATTAAATATTATTCAAAGATAATAAAATTCTTCTTTGGGATTCAATTATTTTTACAAATAATAAAACTAATCGCAGAATTTCAATTATTTTTAATACAATTTTAATCGAATTTCTCGAAAAATGTAACTATTCTTAAAAATTTTATTACAATTCCTCAAAATAATTCAATTATTTAAAAATTTCTTGATAAAATTCTTTATGGGAATTGGGAATTGAATTTTAAGAAATATGGCAATTATTGAATAAGTTATTTTTTTTGTATTTGAATAATTGAATTCTAATAGAATTTTCTAATAAAAATTGATTTAAAAATTAATTTTAGTTTAAATTTTAGATAATAATTGAATATATAAAGCTATTTAGCGAGAATTTTTAGAAATAATTGAATTTTGAAATTCATTTTTTTAAAAAAGTTTAATTGCATTTTTTTATATTATTTTAAGCTTTTATTTTCTAATATTTATTTAATTGGGGAATTTACGAATAATTGAAATTTCGTAAAATTGAATATTGTAAATAAATGGATTTGAAAAATTGTCAAAGAACTTTTTTGAAAATTGTTAAAAATAATCGATTTAAAGAAGAATTTTAGTTGAAAATTCTTAATAATAGTAATTGAATTGATAATGATTTTATCACTCGGTCATCTTTAATTATTATAAAACATGAAGAAATCGATTACTCCGAGTCGAAGACTCGGAGTTATCGATATCTTTGTGTTTTATAGTTATGAAAATTTCTCTGAATATTTAATTATTTGAAGATTTTCAAATCTTATCCCTAAAATTGAAGTTTAATAAATAAAACTATTGGATTAGAAATTCAAACTTGGAATTTATTATTCTATTTATTCACGTGGAAAAGTTTAATTATAAATTAAAAAGTTTAACCAAGAGATAATTTCTTTGAAATTAATTGAAGAAATTGGATTTTTTTTTTTATTTTTATTCCGTGGAAGATCGTGAAGGATCTTTATTCACGAAGAAAAATAATTCCTGAGAAGAGTATATAGTAATTTTGTTGAAATTTATTCTTCTTTTTAAATAAGGAATACACTTTTATTTCAATTGAAATATAAATTAAATTATTTTGTAATAATATAAACATTAATATTTTCCAATTAATAAATTTCGTACACTGTAAAAAAAGGGAGTAAAATTTTAACTCCCCAGGGGATTCTATAAAAGTCGCACCCATTGGAGAGTTAATGCCAGGAGAGTTAAATAAAGAGAGTTAGAATTTAACACCCAAGTGCTAACTCCCCATGGAAAAAATAACTCGCGCGGGTGTTGAATGAAGGGAGTTAGAAATTAACTCTCTTTTGGAGTTGATTTTTAACTCGAAAAATTTCACTCCCAACTCCCGAGTCCGTTAACTCCCTAAATTTTTTACAGTGTAGGCAATTTCGATTTTTTTTGTCACAAACTGAAATCAATTATATTTTTCATTTAAATTAATTGAAATTAGTTGAAATTAATATTTTTAGTTGCCTTATGTTTTTATAACAAATTAATTAATTCTTTTTCTTTTTTCACATTCGATTGTGATAACAAATTTATTTTTATTTATATTTTTATATTTGTGATAACAAAAATATACATTAAAGGCAAAAGTATATGTATATGTGCCCATTGAGCAGTTTTGGAACAGCACTAATCGTAAATTTAAGCAGACTATAATATAATATTGTCGAAGGGCGGAGGGGTTGAAACTATCGATAGTTTTCGCGAGGCTATCTGCAGTAGACAGCAAAGTCATCAACTATCGTTCTATTGTTCCTGTGATATTCTCTTCGCCAGCAGGAGAAAAAAAAAAAAGACTAGAAATCCAATTAAAACTTTTCGAATTTAAAGACATGTTCGATGGCTGATGCAAGAAAGTAAGGGAATACCACGTGACGTAAGAAGATAGAGAGGTCGTGGTCAAAGGAACCGAGCTATAAACGTGAGAGGACTATTCTATTACGAACTGACATCCGATCCAAACTTGGTTGAGCGATCACAACCTTTGGCTTGGTCTGCGTCTTCCTGCCATTACGCGAAGGAACGTATAAGGTTGAAGAACAAGAAGCAGGTATTAGTAGTGTGGGGGGGGGGGAAATATAGGACCCCCAACATAGAATAATAGGATACGCAGGATAGGATAGGATGAGCACACAGACTTTATAGCGTAGTGTCTCTACGGCTTCTTGATTTATTATCAAGTTAACCCTTTGGTTCGAAACTTCCCCGAGACATTCGATACACGTCCACCTATTATTATATCGCGAATCGACCTTCTATGCCTACGCATATCGTCACGCAATGTAACCCCCAGTTTTTTTTTTTTTTTTTTTTTTAAATTGCTTTTGATTTACGCTAGAATAAAAATATTTGTTGCAAAAACACTCACCTCGAACTTTCTGCTCGTCTTGGAGTTGTCGCTCTAGACTGTCCTTCACTTGCCTCTCTCGTAACACGTCCATTTGCAATTCAGCTGAAAAAAAGAATATAATTTTTTAATATTAAATTAGATTCATTTGGGAATTGAATCATTTTCAAGATGGGGTTAAAATTTAAAATTTATTAAAATTCTGCTTTACTAATTCTGTTTTTAAATAAGGACCATTGTTAGGTCCAGGCACCCAGGGCTGATATCGAAGCATTAGCCCTGGGTGCCTTATAGAATCTAGACGCACCCAAGGCTAATATTCATACATTGCTCTTACTTTCTAGAATTAGTAAAAATATTTACTAATTTGAATTAGTGACTAAATTTTTTCTTTTAAATTAGTAAATTTTACTACTAAATAGTAATTTCTTTTACTAATTTATTAGTAAAATTGACTAATTCATATATGCAAACAGTCAATCACTAATTCAAATTAGTAAAAAATTTTACTAATTCAAATTTGGAGAGTGGGTTTTGGATAAAATCCAGGCAAATACAGGGTTGCCACAGGTCAGGGAAATCAGGGAAAAGTCAGAGATTATTATTAAAAGTACTGGAAAAAATTAAGTTTCTAGAATTCTTCAGAAAATTTTAAATTTTGGTGTATTTTTTGTTTTCCTTATAAACTATGAAGTTACCACGAACTCTAATTAAAAACCTTCAACTTTTTTCTATTTTTGCAAAGAATAAATTTTTAACATTATTTAACTATATTTCCAAAGTTTCAACTCAATTATGTTCATAAATAACAAAATTCTTCACTAAAATTCTATTATTTTTTAGGAATTTTAATAAAATTCTTTGCAAAATTTCAATTATTTTCATAACTAACAATATTCATAACAAGAATTCAATAATTTTTAAAAGTAATAAAATTCTTCGTAGAATTTTAAATATTTTTAAAAATTTTAACGAATATCTCGTCAAGAATTCAATTTTCTTTATAAATAGCAAAATTTTTCACTAAAAATTCAATTATTTTCAAAAATTGATATGAAATTCTTTGAAAAATTGTAATTATTTTCATAACTAACAATATTCATCACAAGAACTCAATTATTTTCAAAAGTAATAAAATTCTTCGTAGAATTTTAATTATTTTTAAAAATTTTAACGAATATCTCGTCAAGAATTCAATTTTCTTTATAAATAGCAAAATTTTTCAACAAAAATTTAACTATTTTCAAAAATTTATATGAAATTCTTTGCAAAATTCAATTATTTTCATAACTAACAATATTTATCTTAAGAATTCAATTATTTTTAAAAGTAATAAAATTTTTCACCAAAAATTCAATTATTTTCAAAAATTTTAACGAATATCTCGTCAGGAATTCAATTTCTTTTATAAACAGCAAAATTTTTCGCCAAAAATTCAATTATTTTTAAAAATTTATATATGAAATTCTTTGAAAAATTTCAATTATTTTCAAAAATTCTTTGCAATTTAATGATTTTCAATATTTACTATTTTCATAAAATTTAACCCAAAATTAAATTGTTGAAAAAAAATTTTTGATACAATTCTACATAAACATTTAATTATTTTCATAAAGAATTTTAGGAATTGAATTACTTTCATCGCAGAATTTCAAATATTTTTAATACAATTTTAAATTAATTCATCGAAAAATGCAATTATTGTTAAAAATTTTATTGAAACTCAACGAAAGAATTCAATTTTAAGAAACATTCAATTATTCAATAAAATAATAAAATTCATTGCAAGAATTCAATTATTTTCATGAATAACTTTTAATTCGTTTAATTTCTGCAAAAGAATTCAATTATTTTGGAAAACAACAAAATTCTTCTTATAAAATCAATTATTTTAAGGAATTTTAATAAAATTCTTTTTCAAAATTCAATTATTTTGATAAATATCAAAGTTTAATACAAAAATTCAATTTTATTGAAAAGTAATATAATACTTTGCAAAAATTAAATGATTTACAAAATTTTTGAAAAATTCTCGTAAAGAATTAAGTTATTTTTGTAAATAGGCAGCGAAATTCTTCTCAAGAAGTCAATTATTTTCAAAAATTGCAATAAAATTCTTGGCAAAATTTCAATTATTTAAACAAAATTTAATAAAATTCTTCGCATGAATGCAATTATTTTTAAAAATTTAAATAAAATTCTCCAAATTTAATTTGAAGATTTTTAATTGTTTTCATATATTATTTATTCATTTATTATTCATATCAAATTTTGAATATATTTTTTAGATAGACTCCTTGAAGAGGAAATCATTTAGATTTCGAAAAAAGAAGTTATTGATGTTACCGAATAATTTGTCTTTTGATGAAATTTGTAAATAAATGTAATAGAAATTTTTTTGAGTATCTAATCATTTTTAGAGTGAATCAGAATATTTTTTAGGGTCAGGAAAAATATTTGGATTTTGGAAAAATTTATCAATTTTTGAATTTGTTAAAACCTATTAAAAACCACTACAAAGTGGTTGAAAACCATCCGAAAAATTTTATGGCATATTGAACTTAGCAATGAAGTGTAAATTGTGAAAAGGAATAAAAAAAAGGTACATTTTTAAAGAATTGTAAAAAAAAAATTATACTGATTAGAAAAGTTATCAGTGTTAAAATAGTTATTTTAAAATTTTATTAAATTTTAATTAATTTAAAATTTATTAAAAGTTATTTCAATGATTGAAAAACTGTTGTATTGCAGGGTTGCCACAGGTCAGGGAAGTCAGGGAAATCAGGGAAAAGTCAGGGAAAGTAAAATTGGTCAGGGAAAAGTCAGGGATTTTTACTAAAAATACTGGAAAAAATTGAATTTTTAAAATTCATGAGAAAACTTTGAATTTTTTTCCTTTTTGCTTCGTAAATTATGAAATTTTCTCGAATTTTAATACAAAACCTTCAATTTCTGACAATAATTTTTTTTTAAATAACTTAATTTTTCAAAAACTATTTATAAAATTATGACTTACAAATTATTTTATAAATAATTTTTACAATTTTCATAAATACTAGATTGATAGAAGAATTTCAGTTAAAAATACTAAAAAAAAATTTGATTTTGGAAAAGTTACAAATGATTACAGAAATTCAATTATTTTTAAAAGTTACAAACATTCTTCGCAAAATTTCAATTATGTTCAAAAATAAAAAAAAAATTCTCGTCAAAATTTCAATTATCTTTATAAATAATAAAATTCTTCATCGAAATTCAATTATTTTTTAAAATTTTATTAAAATTCTTGTTAAAATTCCACAGGAATTCAATTATTCAATATTTAATAAATTTCTTTGAAATAATTCAATTATTTTCATAAGTAATAAAATTTTCACAGGAATTCAATTATTTAAAAATTAAAATACAAAATTTCATAAAATTTTTCGAAAAATATCAATTATATAAAAAGATTTTTATAAAATATTTTCAATGAATTCAATTATTTTTATAAATAATAAAATTCTTCACCGAAATTCAATTACTTTTATAAACTTGAATAAAATTCGTTGTAAGAATTCAATTATTTATATAAACTTGAATAAAATTCGTTGGAAGAATTAAATTATTTTCAAAATAATAAAATTCTTAGCAGAAATTCAATTATGTTCAAAAATTAAAAAAGAAATATTGTCAAAATTTCAATTATCTTTATAAATAATAAAATTCTTCATCGAAATTCAATTATTTTTTAAAATTTTAATAAAATTCATGTTAAAATTCCAAAGGAATTCAATTATTCAATTTTTTTAATAAATCAATTAAAAATAATTCCATTATTATATAAAATTCTTTATGAGAATTCAATTTTAACAAACATTCAATTAATTCAATAAATTATTTATTTTTTAATTTAAATAATTGAATTTTTTTTAGAATTTTCTAATAAAAGTTGATTTAAAAATGAATAAACGAATAATCGATTTATTATTATTTATAAAAATAATTGAATTATTGCAACGAATTTTATTACATTTTTTTTTTAATAATTGAATTTTTTTGTGAAATTGTACTTCTTGTAAAAATAATTGAATTCTTGTGAAGGATTTTTTTAGGATTTTTGTAAATAATTAACTTATTTTAAAAAATTTTATGGCAATTTAAATTATTACAAAACATGAAGAAGACGATCACTCCGGAGTGATCGTCTTCTTCATGTTTTGTAATAATATTCTTATAAGTTGTTGAATTTCAAAAAGGTTTAAATTTGAATATTTTGAAGAATTTTAATTCCTACAGAAAAATAATAATGATTAAATATTTATTTAAGAAAGAAGTTATTGATGTTTTTAAATAATTTTACAATTAAAGAAGTTTGTAAATAAATGTAATAGAACATTTTTTTTGAGTATCTAATAATTTTTAGAGTGAATCAGAATATTCTTTAGGGTCAGGGAAAAAGTGAAATTTTTTTTTGGAAATCAGGGAAAAGTCAGGGAAAAATAAAATTAAATATTTGTGGCAACCCTGTGTTGGTAAAGAAACTGTAAAAAATGTAAATTTTGAGCCCTTCTGTTTTAGCTAGTAAGAAAAATAGAATAGAAAAGTAATAAAGTAGGAAAAATTAGAATAATATTTTTTTTTTTTTGAGAAATAAAGAGAACGTGATTCAAATTGAATGAATAGCCTTGGGGCGTGTTTGTTGGAACTGGCGTTCTCTAGATGACGATCGTCAATAAAGTTCAATTATCCCCGGAAACGAGGTGTATATATATATATATATATATAGAAAGAGGTATACATCGAAAGAGAGATGATAATCTAAACGATCGCAAAGTGGGCTGCAGAAACGCGCACAAAATTGGCAATAACAGGATATTCACCAGGGCCCAGCGCGAACTTCCTATTCTGGTTAGCATTCAAATTGAATCTTCGTGGCGGGCAGTCGTGAAGAGTTACCGTCGTTAATGGACCTCGCAAACGCTCTGAAATTGCTAGCAGACGCCTCAAACTCTAATCTCCCTCGAAAACCAACTGATAACATACCAAAAATTTCTAAATATTTCCTACAATCTATTTATAATCTTTACATACTCGATCTTATATATACTTTATATTTTACTCGA